AATTTATTTTTTAATTTTTTTTAAACACAATTTTGTAATTCTAAAACCTGTAAAATATGCAGCAAACTGAAATATTTGTATGTCCTATGTATTACATAGAAGATAGAAGTGTAAAATAATTACTGAATCATAACGGCCGAATGTCTAAGGGCTTTCAAGTCATATTGATAAGCGCTAAATAGCATGTATCCAATCGAACCGTGTTCAATCGTGTGCAAAGTAACGACAAAAGTAACTGTAAATTTCGTTACCGTTACCCAAAAAATGTAACTCGTTACCGTTACAGTTACCAAAAAAAGAAAGTAACGCAGTTACCAGTAAAGTTACCAAAAAAGTAACTTGTAACTGTAACTTCGTTACAAGTAACGAGTTACTTCCATTCCCTGGTTATACTGCGTCTCTTTCTGAAAATTATTACAATTAATTTAATGGACTCTTGAAATTAAAAAAACGATTCAAAGTGTTAAAGGTAAATGAGAGTCAAAAGAGTAATTAATTAGCTGCAATATTAGAAATAATTATATATTCAGGTAATAAAATTGTCAATTTTATATTATCGCTCTAAACAATATACGTTATTATTATTTTTAATATTACTCTTAATGAACTGCGTCTAATTCTCGCGTTAAATCGTTCTTGCTGAAAAGCACTAAACTGTAAGACCGGAATCAGACTACGCATTGAAAATTGAGATTGAACATTGAAAGATTGAATTTTGGCTAATCAAAATAATAGGAGTTAAAATTTCTTTATCCTCATTGGTCAAATTTCAATTTTCAATCTTCAATCTCAATTTTCATAGTCTGATTCCGACCTTACACTTGCATTTGCATGTGAATGCACCCAAATAGATCACGTGATAAAAATTGGCGAATATCAAGCGTCAATTTTAATCATCTGATCTATTTCGAGTCGAGCGTCAGCATGAAAAGATACCTTAAAACGGTTGCATGCGAATGCACCTTGACTCGTGAAAAAGTTCACGCGGAATCAGAACGCGCGGAAAGTGAAAAATGAAAAAAATTGGTTCGAAATTACGTTATCGCTGCCCAGACGTGCCTACGTAAACACGATTGAAATGTTAAAAGAGCCTCCTAAATGCATTTCGAATTGTGGTTGGCTGCATTGCGTGAGGTTTCGAAAAATCGGGAAAAATGGACGCCGAGAATGAGTGTATCACTTTTATCTGAATCCTCGTCTCGGCAGTAAAAATGGGCAATCAATTAGTGGGCATCGCGCCCAGCCAAATATTTCCGGTGGAGCACTATTTGACAGATCACAGTGATTTATTATTCGACGTGAAGTAAGTACTCGGTTGAATTATTCCACCTTAACGTGTGCATATGTCTGCTCGTAAGCACTGTGCAGAGCGTTGGAGCCGCGTGTTCAAGTGATATCTAATAACAGCCTGTTAACACTTCGTGATATTTCTGTTACTTGTAATCAATATTAACAGATATATACCACATGCATTGTAATCAGGTGTCCACGCAATGTTCAGTTTTCTTTTAAACGTTACAGTTGATATTGACAATATTATTATACATGGACAGTTTAATATGCCAGTAACTTTTCAAAAGAATTGATTGTTAAAAAAAGAAATTTAATTATGATTTTTAAAAAAAGTTAAAAAATTCACTGACTTCTCAAACTGCCCTTGTAAGTAATATAAAAATATTATCATTATAAAAATTATAGTTACAGAGAAAAATGAAATATTTTAATAATTGCTATATATATGCGTAAAAAAGTTAATGTTATTTATGGAAACCTTGAGAATATTGTTTAGAATTAACTGATCATGAAGTGATGTTAATTCAAACTCTTTGTTTACAATGCTCCTTGTTATTTATAGTTTAGGAAGCACTCGATTTTTTAAAGTGGCTCGGGCCCGCAGTCTGGAGGGACTGATAGTTGTAAAAGTGTTTGCTATTCATGATCCAACATTGCCATTATCTACTTATAAGGATAAACTGGAGGAGATCAGGTCAAAGTTAGCCTCCGCTGTCAACTGCCTACCATTTCAACGAATGATTGTAAGCATTGTAACATAGAAACACTATAAACGTATATTGCTTATTTTAGCACAACTAGAATTAATTGTATGCTTGGATCAGCTCACAGAAAAAGCAGGCTCAATTATGCGGGAGTATGTCAAATATTCTCTTTATGACAGGATCAGTACTAGGCCATTTTTAACGAGCATAGAGAAAAAGTGGATCACTTTCCAAGTGTTATACGCTCTTAATCAAGCTCATAAGGTGAGTAATATGCATATATTATTTAAAAAAGCTGTTCAAATTACAAAGACAATTATTTTAAAATCTTTTATAAAATATGTTTGTAATAATACTTTTATTTTAACTCGAGTAGCTCATCTTAAATCTTATCTATTACTTTTTTATTTAAATAATAATATATATTGTTTTTGATTGTAATTTTTTAAAATAAATATTTTTCGAAATCAATATTAAGTTTATAGAGGACATATAAGAGTCAGTTAAGAACAAAAACGAATAAATAATATATACAGATATAAAATATGTTGAATTGTATAATTAAATTGAATTTAATAGTTTTATAAATATTTTTTTTTTATAGTTTGGTGTTTGTCATGGTGACATAAAATTGGAAAATATTATGATAACTAGTTGGAACTGGATATTACTCACGGATTTCGCTAGTTTTAAACCAACTTATTTACCAGAAGACAATCCTGCAGATTTTTCTTATTTTTTTGACACTTCCAGGAGAAGGTAAAATCTTTACTAGAGCCGTCTTCTTTCTTTTTTATCTTAATGGAATAATTTTTAATATATTTTCAGAACCTGTTACATAGCGCCCGAGAGATTTGTGAAAACATTATCTTCAGAATTGAGCAATACATTGTTATTACCAGAACAAGAAGTAAAGACAGGTGATTTGCATCCAATGATGGATATTTTTTCTGCAGGTTGTGCTTTAACAGAGTTGTATAATGAAGGACATCCACCATTCGATTTTTCACAACTGTTAGGTAGATATATATTTTTATAAATTTTGATCTTTTTTTTTTAATTGAACTGTCAAAAAATGAGTGAAATATAAAAAACGATGTTATTTACAAATCTAAATTTTATTAATGTGATGTTGATATATTCAGCATATAGGAACAACGAGTATTCTGTAAGCAAGCATTTAGATAGTATAGATGATCTAGGAATGCGTGAGCTGCTTAGTTCAATGCTGGAAAGAAATCCATCAAATAGGAAAAGCGCAGAGATCTATCTGGCTCAAACTAGAGGTATCATCTTTCCGGAATATTTCTATTCCTTCCTCCAGTCTTACATGCTTATTTTCTCTGCGGCTCCAATTTTATCACCGGATGAGAAAATAACACGGTTGAAGAAAGATATTGGCAATATTATAAGTATACTAAAGGCGGAAGACAGTGAACGGATGAAAACAAGCGAAACAAAGCCTATGGAAACTGCCAAATCTGGTCAGTGTGAGAGTAATGTGGGATCAATTAAAGATGATTCTGGTCACAGCGAAGAAAATACGATGATAGAAGTTGACAGCGATCAAGGTTCCGATAAGACCGATTTGAATCAAATTGATATAAAGAACACAGCACAAGATATTGGCAGTGATATTCAAGTGGACGCAGATCCAGAAATGAAATCGTCCGAAGATAGCAAACAAACTTGCGACGTGGAATCCAAGAGATCAATGTCTACCTCGAGTGAGATTCTAGAAGGACTTGTTATCATAACTCAACTTGTTACTTCTTGCATAAGAGGATTGCATTACTCGCAATCTAAATTGCATAGTTTAGAGATATTATTAGAATTGGCTGAAAATGTTTCTGACGAGACAATTCTCGATAGAATATTACCTTATATCGTAAGTATTAAAAATGCCAATTTTAGAATTTTTTGAATCGAAACGATAAATATTAATATTTAAATAATAACAGTAAATATTAATAAACACAAATTTGTATTTATTGAGCTAAAAAAAATGTTTTAATGTGAGTAAATTGTATTTTTTATTTTATATTACCAATTATTGCTTACGTATATTTTTTAAATGTTATTTAGTTCCATTTGGTTCATGATCCGGCGCCGCGGGTGAGAGTATCTGCGATACACACTTTAACAAAATGTTTACATCTTGTGAAATCGATACCATCTTCGGATGTGAACATATTCCCTGAGTACATTTTACCAGGCTTAGCACACATAACTCAAGACGAAGCAGTTATTGTTAGAGCAGCTTATGCGGAGAATATTGCTCATTTGGCGCACATTGCTCTGCGTTATTTGGAGAACGCTCATCTATCTAACTTAGGTAACAAGGAAGGACCAAAGCCCAGTTACGACAGTGAACTGCAAACCTTGCACGAAATGGTATATTTTTCTTATTTCGTAAAAGGACTAAAACGATATATTTTCGCTGAAATTTTCGCTATTTGAATTATATAACTAAGACACTATCGATTAACTTAATAATATGCTGTCATCTCTCTATCTTAGGTCCAACAATCGGTGTCCATGCTGTTAACCGATCCTAAAAATTTAGTAAAACAAACATTAATGGAGAATGGAATAAATAAATTATGTGTGTTTTTCGGAAAACAGAAAGCCAATGATATTTTGCTTAGTCACGTTATCACGTTTTTAAACGATAAGGAGGATAAGGAACTGAGAGGTTCTTTTTTTGAATGTATAGTCGGTGTAGCCGCTTATGTCGGTTGGCATAGTAGTCCCATATTAATGCCACTTCTGCAGCAAGGTTTATCCGATCCTGAAGAATTTGTAACCACAAAGGCCATAAATGCCATGGCAACACTTACTGAATTGGGTCTACTACATAAATCTGCTCTTTATCAGTTATTATCAGAAACTATGGTCTTCCTGGTATGTTACCGTTATAATATAAAAATCTTTGATACATATAATGATTCAAGTTATAACTTCTAATAGATCTTTTTACAAATTTAGGACATTTTCTTATTGATAGATCAACAAAATTAAAATTATAGAATTTTATTAAAATTTTGATAAATTTCAGATATTATTTAAAACAAATTCTTTGAAAATAAAAAATTAGTCAAGACAATAAGCTTATTTTTAAAGACTTTAGTTAACATTTAAAAGCACCTTGCGTGTTGATGTAATTAATTTGCACTGTCATTTTTTTATAGGTTCACCCAAATCTTTGGATACGTCATGCAACCGTTGGCTTTATTTCCGCGGCAGCAAGAACTCTGAATGTGGTGGATGTCCAATGTAAAGTCCAAACGATGCTCCAACCGTATCTGAAACATTCATTGATCCAGATAGAAAAGGAGATTTTACTGCTCGAAGCACTTGTATCTCCTATATCTAGAATCGTATACGATTCCATGGTGAAGTATAACGATGTGGAGGAATTATTTCAAGTACTTGAACAGAGGCAAGCAGCCAGAGCAAAAGCCATAACGGGTGTGGTATCGCCACAATACAATGACATGAGTACCTCTTTAAAAAATGTAAATAACATTGATTATATTTAATTTTAAAAATAACATTGAAAAACATTTTACTATATTGCCATAAAATTAAATTTTATAATGAAATAATATGTTGCGTTATACATCATGCAGCAAAAAAATTTAAATAAATATGTATTATTTATTACTGCAAATAAAGAAGATTCAATAAAAAAAGCATACCGTTCTTTTTAGCTTTTTAGGCGATTGAGTTCGGAATCAATGACTGAGGCAGTTGAGGATCAATTGCTGATTATGAAACCTCACTTGATGAAGATCAATAAATATCGTAATTCTGCGGACACGAAGCAAAATACTATCAAACCGACAGTGGATGGAAAACTGGAGTTAAGTCCAGTGAAAGATAGGATAAGACATCATGTCGTCGTATTATATCCTGATAATAAGGGAGATTTAATCCTGCCATCTTTTAAAAGATTGGATCGAAGAACATCAGAGACTGTCGGTACATACGCAACGATGAATCAAGAATGGCGTACGATGTTTGCAGCTCAAGATAATGCTCAGGTATTACAGTAAACGATATCGACAATTCTTTGTTTTCTATATTGCCTTGCTAATTCTATATTTATAATAATTTTTCTTATATTGTCACAGCACACTATTGTTAAAATGTCAGACATGACTGGAAGCAGTGGCAGTCCCAGCCAAAGCATACACAGTGGAGACATCCATTTATCTCCGCATCATTGCCTATCAGATATGACCAGCATTAATTCTCTTATGAATGATCATTCACTTCACGAACGATCTTACATACAATGTAAGCGAAGTTAATGCAATTATAATACGAAATAATAATAAAAATAATAAATAATGAAAAAAATTTTAATTAAAAAATTTAAATAATGTTTGTATAATTTTTATGTTTCATAAAATAATAGAAAAATATTAAAGAATAATGATTTTGCAGATAGATGTGCTCCCTGCCGATTAGAAGTACGGCAATTAACGTACCGAAAGCAAGAGCAACATGTAGCAGTGTTAAGAGCAAAACGTTGGGCTAACAACGTCGCCTGTGAAACTGGTAAATAAAAATTAAATCTTTACAGATTACCATCAAGCTGTATCGTATGATTATCATGTGCTTTTTTATTCATTATCGATGTTGGCTAAAAGGCTCCACATCACTGCCAAAGGATTGGAGACCTCGAGGAGTTCCTGTCGCGCATCTTCATGAGCACAGAGCTGCAGTGAATAGATTAGTTTCGATACCGGACACTAACTTGTTCGCAAGTAGTTCCTCCGATGGATGCATTAAAATTTGGGATGCCAGTAAGATGGAGGGACGAAATATTGCTAATCGTTCCAGGTACTGTTTTTCTTTTCCAAAACAAGTACATATTGCAGATGTTTTGATTAATTTATTATATTATTTGAAATTAAAAAATTGAGTTTTTAATATTTATTTCTTGATGCTGTACTTTACAGACAAACGTACATGCACAGAGGAGGCCCGCTGGTTGGCTTAACTGTGTGCGACCAAGGACAATCTTTAGCAAGCTCTGCGAGCTCGTCTGGAACAGTATTCGTACTTCGGATTGAGCCAAACTCGAGTAAAATGAGCTTAATTGGCACTCGTCAATTGGATCCCCAGGTGATTAGAAAATATCCGCAACAATATAAAATTTCAATGTATATAAATCTTAAAGAAATGTTGCTTGCAACTAATTCAACAGGAAGAAGGAAGTGCTGTAGATCTACAGTATCTAGATTCCGGTTCGCAGTCCGTTCTTGTGTACGCCTCATTGTATGGTTCACTGGTAGGTTGGGATCTACGATGTCCTGGTACAACATGGCGCTTAGAAAATGATTTAAAGCACGGAGTTATCACGTCGTTTTGCGTAAACAGTCATCAGCAGTGGTTAACCCTCGGCACGAGTTCCGGTATCCATACCTGTTGGGACTTGAGGTTCCAACTGCCAATAACGAGTATCAAGCACCCAAAAGGTAGATTATCTCGCCTATTTTATTTTCTATCGTGCTCGATGCGCTCGAATAATTTCATTTAAAATGGTTTTTAATAATGTTACTTGTACCGTTTGTAATGCTATTTATTGTGTCCTTCAGGCGCAAGAGTACGAAAGGTAATCACGCATCCGACAGAGCATTCGTGGATAATTTCGGCGGTACAAGGTAACAATGAGATATCCATGTGGAATCTGGAGACCGATCAACGACAGATGGTTCTATGGGCGTCAAATGCACCGCCGTTGAGTCGTACTCAAGCCGGTCACACCGTTTGTGCCATGCACGCTGGATGTATCGATAGTTCAGGTTTCCTTTTAGCTGGCGGTACCGATATGCGATTACGCTTTTGGGACTTTGATAGACCCACCGCATCTTACGTTGCTCTACCCGCCGCTAACGATGTCCTCACTCCAAATTCGTTGGCATACGAGTCAGTAATCGATTGAATATAAAATTAGTCACTCAATATATAATATTTATACTATTCTTGCTTAATGACATACGATATTGCTTCTTTGTTTACAGTTTACGTTTGATAGACGGAACAAATGTTGTGCAAGAGGTATTAGTGGATGACGATTCTAACCCGTTGTCTGGAAGTGACACAAGAGGAAGAAACATGGAGGAGAGCGGTCCCGAAACTCCACCCTCTGGTCAGCACGACACGATCTCTGCCGTGGCTATGTCGAATACGTGCATTCTCACCGGTAGCACAGATGGTCTGATACAAGTCTGGAAATGATTATTCTTTTTGGTCCAAAATTCGATTACAAAGTTCCTCGCACAGGCGATAAAAGATTTTATCAGTGTAATGCGGAATTTCTTTCCACTAATAACAAAACCATTGTGATCCAAGTAAGGAATAAGTTATTCTAGAATTCAGATAAATCATCCAGCGATGCTGGACATTGATCGTGATATAATTTATTTAAGGGCAGTCACGCGGAGGAATTGTGATGGCGGTGCAATTATGATATAATAATTCCCATTTTGACAAAAACTTGTCAAAGAATCATATATTTTTAACAATTCCGTGTGATTATCATTGATGATAGGTCTTGTTGAAATTACAATATCATATGTGTGTATTTTACTGAGCAAAAAGAAAGTTAATTCTACAAATCAAATTATTTTCATTTGTTTAAAAATTTTTTAAAAGTTGAAAATCTTATTTCGAAATATAATTTTATAGATTAACTATAAATGAGTAAAATTCTCTCGACTGTATTTAAATTAAACTTTATATTGTTCAATTTGCTTAGACGATTTTATTAAGATGGCTTTTATCGCTTCTTTAAACTACACGCTAATAACGTACACACAACACCGCCGTGCTGTACCGAACTCTGTGATCCTGGACTGTATATAAAAAGAGCATGTAATATATATGATATTTAAGACTATGATTACAATTGTGCTACGAAGGCTTGCATTTTTTAAGAAAATTTGAACGTAAGCTTACATTACAATGTAATATAAAATGTATATAGCTTATTTTTATACGTAAGAAAGGAAAAAAAGAGAGAGAGCTCGGAGTATTACTGATTTGTAGGCAAATGGTGATGACATAGAAAGTCGATGTTACATAGATCTATAGATAATAAGTCTTTGAACAGTATCTAAGTTAGCAGATATTTAGTGGGTCCATACGCGCATTTGTTTAACACTAAAAGGTAAATAAAAGTTATACGGATATAAAGTGACTTTGCACGATGGAATGCTCTTAAAATGTCCGAGAAAGTTATATTTAGAAACTACATTTTTATAGTTTTCCATTGTATTCTTTAGCTTTGTTTCTTTTTGGATTTTAAAAGCTATTTTTTATAGTACGATAAGTTTTCTAGTCTCTTTTTCTTGTCTTTATATCTAACAAATGCGAATACGGACCGAGAAACGAGGAGTAATAAAGTTCACGTACAAAAGATACAATTGGTGGACAATTATCTCCTCGCTTCGTACTTGATGAACGTATACGTAGCTACATGTATGTAATCGCGAATATTTATATGTATACTAGCATTATGTTTGCTAGCATTGTCATGGACACATACGTACACGCATACTGACTGAAATACTCATAACCGGTGGACGTATATACTGTCTAAAGCTATACATTCCAAAAACGTCCTCTTCCAGGAAAATTTTACTCTATATACTATAGTATAAGTTACGTGTATTATATATTTTGAGTAAAATTTTTCACTGAGGAGAGGACGTTTTGGAATGTGTATCCTAAAACTACGTTGTTATAATAAATTCATATTTTTAACGCACGAAATATTCTCACTTGCGTTTGGCACGGTAGATATGAAATCCAACCGGAAATTTCCTTTACCATGGACAAACAGGTGCGGCGGGATAAGGCACGCGTCCTGGGAACGCATACGAATCCGCATTTATAGTCCTGCAGATTTGTTTCCAGCGCTCCTTACCACCTCTGCTTTCACGATACGGGCCGTTTGCGTAGTATCCGGTATTTTGATTGTCGTAGGATTGCTGGGGAAACCATAGATCGAGCCAGGGTTTACAAGAAACTGAACTGACTAATAATAACAACAGAATGATTAACTTCATTTTAACTCTATTGTTTGAAAACTTCAGTCATAATCTTTTAACAATCTTCTTATGATGATCTGGAAGAAAAAAGATTATTTTTATGAGTATTTTAGATTATATTTATATATTTAAATTTAATCGTTTAGTTTTGCATTATGTTTTAGGATTGTATTTTAATTCCTAAACTCTTTCTCTCTCTCGTGTAAAAATGTTTAAAACTTTCTAGTTTTATATCGAAAACATTTTTAATCATTTTTTGAATTCTTGATATTTTTATAAAAATATAATGTACTTCTTTTTATACAGATTTATATAAATCTATTAATTTAAAGTAGAGTTTTGTTGAGATTCAAGAGAGAGTCATTCGTTTACAATTTCTTGAGATTTACTTGATTTCCTGAAGTTTTCTATTTTTTATTATAATTGAAAAAAAATGGCACGTAATTGAAATAATTGGAAAGATTATTATATTTCTTACTATTATTCAGTTTCCTTTGATCTCTCTGATTTGCGTGATGATAGAGGATCTGTAGTAGGTCCAAGTGAATGTTCTGCAAATAAAAAACAAAAGTTCAATTAACAATTTGATTGTAGTTAACGCTCGCTGATTGTACCACTTCTGACAGGTGTCACAGCGCACTTAGTAATACACTAAAGTGGATATAAAAACAGAGACAACGCGCATTCACGCACCAAAAAACCACATAATGAGCGTCGTTACGTCACGGCGTCAATGTTTTCTTTCACACTTTCTGAAATTGTGGGATTAACAACGATACAATGTCTTTTCTGAAAACTCCAGTATCTTGCCAATTGTTATTTATTTCAATTGGTTCTCTAACTATGAAAAATAATTGAAGCCACATGTATGTACATATGGCATCTCTGATATAATGGATATAATAATATATGGAAAAAATACTGATAATAATTGACTTTTACCTAATCGCAAGCAGCTGTAACAAGCACTACTGCAATGGAGAGATGCTGGATGCTTACTGCCGATTTATATACTACTGGCCTATCGCCCTACCGCTCAGAAAAATGCGCAGTTGGTGATGAATTTGCATTGCCTTTTGATGAATGATCTTGGGATATCGGATGCGCGCATGTATTCAACTTGCTTTAGTAAGAATATACAGTAATCTTTTATAAAATCATACATAAATTAAAGGGAGAAAGCATGAAATGACGCAAAAAATCTAACAAAACTTACAGTTACGATTCATATAATTGAGATACGTGATTATATTAAAATCATAATTGAATTATTAATCAAATATAGATGAACAAAATTATTTAATTCTATTAAATCATAGATTCAATCATCGGAGATTTCTTCTTAATTATAGACTAAATACCGATGAGAACAAGCCATTTAAGGTCGAGCTGGATCTTGGATGCTTCTATAATTTCGTGTAAATTTATATTGCAGTACTATCACGAGTTAAATTGACTAACAAAATCTAATAATTTTTTATGCTCATAGCATCTTGGATAATTAAATTTAAATAAATTATTTACAGATTTTTAATATGCCCCCATTCATAGATTTTAATGTCATTCAACATATTACTAAGATCCAAGATGTTATGAGAAAAATTGTTAGATTGTTAGTCAATTTAACTCTCGTAATAGTACTGCGGTAGTTTCTGTATACGTAGTATATAAATTCACACGAAATTATAAAAGCATCCAAGATCCAGCTTGACCGTAAATGGCTTATTCTCATCGGTATTTAGTTTAAAAACTCTCACAGTCCAAATAAGGTTTGATATTCTTAATTATAGATTTTGATGTCATTTTATTATTTTTTTTGATATCCTAGAATCACCTATTTGACAGATATTTTGAACATTTTGCATTTATATATTCGAACATATATATTTGTCTTACAATATTTTTTGCATTACAGATTTTCAGAGTTTCGATTTACATTCATGAGAACGATTGAAGCTTGGATCACACACGAGATGGATTCTAGATTCCATCATGCCTAGATCCTTTATTATTTTCTTACGACAAGATTGTGATCGAGCCGCTGAAGAGCGGCTATTTCATATTCCAACGAGTTTCCACCTCTTCACGATTATTTCCTCAATTTAGGATTCCGCACGTGCTGACAAAATGACGCATTTACTTGCGCACTTTTGAACTTGGGGGAAGACCCTTTCTCACTGTCTTAGATGTTCTTTATAACAATTTATATGTAACTCTTGTTCGTTCCCTCGCTCACGTATTCCGCGCACATAATATCGTTTGTAAGGAATACAGGAAGATGTATGAGATACTGATATCATCGTAATTACTCATTTGTTCGGTATGCCGCTACATCTTATGATAATGGCATATTGTCACGTGACTCTTTAAGGCAAAGGAAGAGGAAAAGGAAAAGCCCTGTGTTCCTCGCTCTAATAACGATCGTTCAGAAGACGCAAAAGCAGCTGCATGACTGCATCGATTGCGATCAGATCGGATCTTGTGTACGGTTCCTCTGGATTAGCATTCGATGTTTAATTCATAAGTCGCACTTTCAGATGTTTGACGTAGGCGTATCCGCGAAATCCGATGCTCTGCATGAAATAGTAATAATTTTGCATACGTAACGCGCCGCCCGGCACGTGCTTGCATGTTGCGTGCGTTCAATCATGAAGTGCACCGCACCGCGGGTGAATATCGTAGCATGCGTTTTTCCTCGAGATTACGAAAAGGAATCGCGTGACCTACATTATAATATGCACAGGCCGATTTGCGTCTGATATGTTCGATCTTCGCGTCCGGTTCTTCCGCGCTGGCGCCGAACTTTATTGGGAGTTGCTCTACATTCGAGTATCATGTCAAGGACGCCTCTTGAGATACTGAAGACAGTAGTGAATTATCTTATCGGTAAACTTGACATACTTTCCATGAAACTGCTTGCATGAACCAAAAGCAAGTTGCCCTTTGACCCTTTGAGTTCTTTTCCTTGATATGTTTCTTCAAAGATTTTTCTAGGTAAAACGCTTCCTATCTTAATGATAGAATCTGAACGTTACTTTTGTATGTTTTATATTATATTTAAATTATATTTACCTACTTGACGACAAAGATTTAAATACAAAGAAAATTTTACTAATTAAATTTATATGAATTTTTTTGAAAAAGAAATGATAATTATAGTAATTGAAATATATGAATCCACGGAGAAATTTTTATATTAAGTTTTAATACAATTTTTACTTACATTTTACTATGTCTTGGTTTTCGGGTGGACTCTCACAACAATATTCCGACATAACTTTTACTATGGTAATACTAATATGCTGTTTTTTTTCTTCCAACTTGTAATCTGGCTTAGGGAAAGATAATTTATCTTGCGCAATTAGCATCAATTCACATTGGTGCAAATTAGCGCCTGTAATAGATATAGCATTTTTCCGTTCGTTATTCGTCATTTTGCATGAAGTCTTTCTCAACCTCGTTCAAATTGCACGCAACTTCTTACAGGAAATCGACTACAAGAGACATTGCAATAAATTCTTTAATCACGTAATAGATCGTACGTTGCATTAAAAAACTGGGCTATATATAAACAAATAACTTGATTTGCCTTGAGGGAAATTTTTGGTAATTGATAGGCCTATGTATCGTACGAATATGAATCGTAAATTGCAGATGACAAGGTCGATTATCTTCGCAACTGTATATAATTGTTCTTACATTTGACGAATTCCTTCATGAAAGGGTAATTTTTTTAATTATGGGAGCCATAGAATAACGGCTCGATTCGCTTTACCGATTCCTATTATCGTAATAGTCAGTTTCCGATCTACCGACTATTAATAGTGTTTGGCAGAGAAAGTCTGTCTATTTACAGATGTTTGCAACAGAGACGAGCGATTTTTTAATAGCTCATTTCTCGAAATTTAGAGTTTTATAAAAATTGTAGAATTATAAAATTATATATACCATACATACTTTTTTTAATATACAATATATACATATATTGATATATATTTATATGTACATATGGTATTTAAAAATACTTTTATACAAGATTAATGTTGCACATGATAAACGCGGGAAATGTATGCAACGATAAAGTTATTTAAGAAACTCACTTTTATACGACGGTTTCAACTAATTTGTGGATAGAGGAAATAAGTTTTTAATACTTTTTTAGAGGATGCGATCAAATTGCTCTTTGTGTGAAAGCTTTTGCATCTCTCCCGCTTTATTCCCATGAATGTTTTAGCAAGAAATTCCAGAGATGCTTTCTCGAAAAAGCTTTACGGTTTTTGTCTTTTTTATTTCTTTTCTTCTTTTTCAAGAATTCATCTCGAGTCTGCCAGATCTAATTTGGAATTCAAGTCAAATTTACCAATTGCTGTAATAATAACATATAATTTATATCGTGATCTGGCAAATCTCGGATATAAAATAAACACAAATGTCGCTTGGATAAAACATACGCAATTAGAAGAAATCAGTTAAGCCATATTTATTATTTGTGATTCAAGAAAAGAAAATGCTCGTTGAAAATGAGTCGATGAATGAATGGACACACCCAAAACCATCTGTGGATATGCGTTGTGGATACGTCATTCTTGTTAGGATTTACGGATATGCCACAGTAAATCGTCTAAATATTTTGGCTACTACTGCAGGCTTCATCAAAACTGTTCTGTGCAGTCGACCGCGTCAATTTCGTTCCGCTCAACATTCGCTGAAAATCGTCGATCACTGTCAAGCTTATCTAATCTCACGTGTCCGTTGGATTTCTTCAAATGTCAAATTACGGCAGCAAAAATAATCGCGAGTCTCTTCGCCGACCCAGCCTCTCCATAAAGATGCAGCGTAGCTTGAAGAAAATGAGAAAAAGCATCCAAAAAATTACCGGTAACGATTTGATTGTTGTAAACTAGAACTTTCTCTTAGTCTAGTTTTCATAATGCTAGAAATCGCCAATTAATTAGGCATATCGCTTGATTAAATTAAATAATAAAGACGCAATGTGTACGATTAAGTAATTGAATGGAACCATATAATGATTTTTATTAGTAATAACATGATTTTATGATAGCTGTTAATTAAATACTCAATTTAATTAGATGACTCTGATAATAATTATAATTTACTTCAAATTTTGAAGTATAAGAAGAGAAAGAGGATATAAAAAGTTAAAGTAAATCATTCGCAATTTTTCAGTGATAATAATTTAGTAATTTATATTATAAAAATATAGAAAGAATCTCGTAAAGTGCACCTAATTAATTTAATTTTATTATAGTTTATATTCAAAAAGTATGATATATCATATAATTGTGTGTGCGAAGAGCTGATAGTTACAGAAGAACTTTAAATTTCTAAGATTAATCCGAGCGAATAAAAATCAGGATGTAAATATATATATATATATATATATATATAAATATATATATATATATATATATATACACGATAATCTGTATATATTATTGTATGTAACTCGATCATATTTTCGTAGAAAGCATCCAGGAAGATGATAAGCATTCATTGTACGTGTTCCCCGAGCAACTATCCGCGCTGACTTGTCGTACCGGGTTTTCTAAGGATGAAATTCGTAAACTGTATCGCGCCTTCAAGCAGCTATGCCCCAGGGGATGCGCAACTTCCGGCGACCTGAAACCCGCGTACGCCAAACTGTTTCCACTTGGCGATTCAGCCAGATATGCACAGCTCGTGTTCAACAACATCGATAGGGATGGCGATGGCATCGTCAATTTCAATGATCTTCTCGGAGCCATGACGTCGATCATCAACGGCAACGTGGACCAGAAGCTTTCCTGGATATTTAAGTGAAAGCTCATCTCATCCTCAATGATTAGAAGAATTAATAATTAATTTGAAAAATAGATTTTTTAGAATTGATAATTTTATTAATCTTGAATGTAGCCAAAGCAACACGTGAAATAATCTTTTCGAACTTGTTGCTTTTCAGGTTCTATGATCTGAACGGCGACGGTTGTATCACAAGACAGGAAATGCTGACTATAGTATCCGCGATTTACGAGATGGTGCAAAATGCGCAGGCTATCCAGTCCATGGTTAACCAACAGGTGGACAAGTTCTTCGAGAAGATGGACGCGAATAAAGATGGTATAGTCTCCAGAGAAGAATTTATGAAGGGCTGCAAAAATGTACGGGATTCTACTGTATGTGTGTAAGAATAATATTGTTCATATTTAATACTAGAAGAATCCTGTTTAATGATGAAAAATGCCTTATTAGGCTTTTCTATAACAAAGGATTTATAAATTTTATTAATATAAAATTCATTCGACATCGATGAAAAGTTTGTTAAAAGTGATATTTATATATTTTGCTCTTACATCTTCTAGTGTTAAAACTCGAAATACAATGCAATCCACATTTAATAGTAAGATCTATTTTAATATAACAGGAAATATAAATACATATGTATCAAAAAATTTCATAAATTCTATTTTTTTACAGGATGCTATTATATACAATCAGTTATTTTTGTTTAATAATATCTGGTGACGGAATGAACATGATTTTAAGAGATTAATGAATAACATATATATAAAGTTATTAAATATTTACAAAAGATCTATCCTTTGTCCTCTTTCACTCTCTCTCTCTCTCTCTCTCTCTCTCTCTCTCTCTACTCTCTCTCTCTCTCTCTCTCTCTTGAAGAGTATATAATATAGATACATATATATCACATTATTTCTTTTTTTCCCGTCTCATAAGAATTTGCATTTGTATTATATAAACAGTTTGCTATCTCATCTTAAACTTTATACGTCTTATACATATACCTTAAAACTTTATACATGCTTAGAGTAGCCTTTTTTGTAGAATATAAAATACACAGGCGAGGAAAAAGGCAAATGCCAATGCGAGCAGCGCTTTATCAGTGACTTCTCGTCTACCATATTTCCCTAATAGTTTTCCTGATTGTACTATAGCTTGTTGCTGATGCTCCAATTCGTCCTTAGTATTGCCGACCTTGTCTGAAGACGTTACTGGAACAATAACACAAAAAAATTTGTTAAAAATATAATTTATAGTTATCTCTATTATCTGTTTATCCTCTAGCGTTAAAATTCAGCGCAATGCAATCTATTTTAATAATAATAATCAATTAAAAAATGTTTATGTTCCGAGAGATTTCATAGATTACATTCTTTACAGGATGCTATTATGTACAATCAGTTATTCTTACTTAACAATGATGACAAATGAAAATGACTTTAAGAGAGATTAATGTAAATAACATATACATAAAATATTTATAAAAGCCCACCCTCTATATCCTCTTTTTCATTCTTAAAGGGTACATATAATATTAATCCATAGAATAACATGTTATTAGCTCGCCATCGAGTAATGAGACAAGATACATACACAAAGTATCTAGTGTATCAGCGCTTCTTTGAGATGTTTCAGCGAGATGTCTGGAAATACTAAGCAACTTGTCTGTCAGTTGGCTAGACACGTTCGTCAAGCTTTGTTTGTCGTGCCGCCTACGGAGAGCGTTTTGTCGTTCCTCCGGCATAGAGAACAGATTCTCTCTTGCCAATTTATCAATGACACATGCACTGACAACGTTGGCCTTGCGGAAGGCAGCCAAGGAAGTGTTCAGCTGTTCCTTGTAACCATCCACAGCAGATAGTAATTCGACCCTCTTCGTTTTATCCGTCTCGGTTTCGGCGACGGATGCCAGATGCTCTATGGAGAATTTCAAAACTGCTATCTTGGCTCTGCCCTCTGCATTGAGCTCGTCCAGCATCTCCAACGGTCCACTGCATTCCTGTATATCCTTCACAGTAAACAACAGATAATTCATTAAATGCAGAGCATTAATTAGGTCTATTGTAATTGAATTCGTGACATATTTCTCGCCACTGTCATTATAGCTTTGCTATGTCAATATTAAAATTTAGGTTATATTTTGTGTATCACGACAATATATATATATATTTACTTGTACTAAAGCATTCACTTGAAGTTGATATTTGACAATGTCTTGACGTATTAATTCCACCGCGCAATTGTCGGGATCCATTGACAATACGAGTTGCTTTGTTTCTATGTTATTTTTTATTTAAACGGCGTACATACGTGCGATGTAAGCGAAGACTCCTATCAGCTGATACAGACAGATGAGTTGTCAATGGACACGTGTGTTATATACTGATCAATATGCATTCGTAATTCCATGAATTTTTATGACCAGAAATTTCATTTTGCATGAGAGAATAGCATATTTAAAAAATATATATAAATAAATATATTTATTAAATTATGAGCTGTTTATTTTACAAATATTATTAAAAAATTAAGATGAAAATAAAATAATCAGAAGAAAATCAATAATTAATAATATATCTTCATTATTATAATTTATATAGTAAAATTACTATGATAAATCATAATAATGAAAATATATTATTAATTATTGATTTTTTTCTGATTATTTTATTTTTATGTTCACTTTTTTTAACATTTTCATTTAATTGTTCTCAAAGATAACTATGAAATGTAAAGATAATACATGTGTATTTATATCATTATTTCTAATTATGTGAAATAAGGAGAGCTCGTGATATTTTTTCATAGGATATATGTACAAGATAGTAATTTATTATATAGATATGATACAATTGTGCTATATTTTTATCTATAAAACTAACTATAATTAAACAATCCGTTTTCACCGCATTTGGACTCCTGCAACTTTTGACAAATTGCAAGGAACTTTGGATTTCTTTCTGTTCGTAGAACATACAGAAGATCATTGTTGCAAATGAAAATTTGCATTATTATAGATTCCTAGGATAATACAGCTTTACAAATTTAATGATGTGAGTTAGATGTACCCTATAACGGGTGGCACTACGATTTACACAACCATTTCAGATAAAAATGAGTTCATAGTGCAAGGTTCTACGATCTCTTATATTACACAAGTTTTAGCGCAGGCTGCTTATTACTGCAGCGGTGAACTCCGTTGTCGAGCTTTGCCCACCCAGATCTTTCGTCAGCACCTTCCCATCGTTCAATACGCGATTCAACGCCTCCCGGATCTGCTCGCCATAGCGTTTCAAATTCGCATGATTCAAAAGCTTTACCGCACACAACAACATCGCCGTTGGATTCGCGACGTTCTTGCCAACCGCTTCGGAATACGTATGCCTTGCACCCTGTTGAAGAATACGAGACTATATTAATAACTTGTGCTTTAAAATTATGATGTAGATCGTAGATTAAGTTTTAGAATTTCTTTTTAATTTTAATTGCACTTGGGATATGATTCTTATTTTGTACAAATAAAACCAGATACATTACTGGTTCAAAGACGACACACTCAGCGCTGTAACTGGCACCTGCGACGACTCCAGCACCACCGACCAAACCGGACGCGAGATTATCCACAATATTTCCGTACAAGTTTGGCATTACCATGACATCGAACTGATGTGGATTGGAAACCATCTGCATGGTACAGTTATCGACGATCATTGTCTCGAACGTAATCCTGTTTCATTAGAAAACAGGAATATAAAGTAAAAGCTAAAAAGAGAGCCCAGCTTATATGAGCCAACGTGATTAACGATGCGTGAATTATTGTGTATAAGTAATATCAAATACATTTTGCAATAATTTCATATAATAATAAATATTTCCAAGCGGCAATTAACAGATTGACAAGGAAGTTATTGGAATACCTGGGGTACATCTTGGCAATTTCTTGGCACGATTTGAGGAAAAGCCCATCACCGAGCTTCATTATGTTAGCTTTGTGAACACATGTGACTTTCTTGCGGTTATTCTTTACGGCATAGTCAAAGGCGAACTTCGCGATCCTTTGGCTTTTCGTAGCAGTCACGATCTTTAAGCACTCGACCACCCCTTTGACAGATTCGTGCTCCAACGCGGAATACTCTCCCTCCGTTTGTTCTCTGATAATAACGCAGTCCACATTTTGATGACGCGACCTGATTCCCGGCAAAGATTTCACATGCACCACATTTGAATACAAGTCCAAGCTCTTACGTAATTTCATGTTCAAGGTCTGCAACTCTCCCGTCATCGAGTGATCCGGAGTTGCTAGAATCCCCTGTTATGTGAAGCAATATTCAGTTACATCGAGTTGCAAAATTACTGCTACCTTATACAGCCACATACTTCTAAAACAAAATTGCTTTCTTAAATAGAAAAAGTTTTATGTTTGATATATGTGTTTTAACTATACAGATGTTCAATAGTATTATTATAACTGTTACAAGAAAGCATTATGTATGTCATGTTATTTGTCTTATTTTAGAAAATATGTAATATTAGACCTTTAGACAAACTCGATTTCTAGCAATGCTGTTGGAGACTTGATCCAGAGGAGCACTCAGGGTTGGATTTACTTCGGATAAGAAGTAAGGCTCGAACTCAACCGGGACATCCGCAGCTTTGAAAACATTTTGAACTGCAACCACGAGTTCTGGTCCAACACCGTCCCCCGGTATCAAGGTACATTTTAACTTTCCTTCTTGTTCAACTGACTGGAAAAAAGTATACATGTCACATATATATCTAATTATTATCAATTGGAGAATAGTATCTAATGTTTTACCGATTCTTGCTGTCGTATTGTCCCTATATGCAGAGCCCTAACTGTGGTCTTTTGAGTTGCCTGCGAACACAAAGCATAAGAATTATATTTTATTAAGTATAATAAAATTCATAATTCACTTTACAATAATCTTTGTAAATGTGATATACTACACATTTAACGTACTTTAAATACACATATTATTGAAATATGAATGTAATTAGTTATACAGAGAATTCAAAGTAGTACTTATTTGGTCTCGAATATAATTCTTTTTTTTCTTTTTTTTTTTCAGAAATAGAATTGTCCAAATTTTTAGAATCCCCTGACAGGATTAATCCTTTTAGTTAATCAATATTGTAATCCTATTCTGTTCGTCGTGCTTCATGAATAATAGGTTCCTAATTCTTGCGTAACAATTTATTGCTTCTCTCGCGACGAATAACTAAGATTACCTTGATTAAATAATGCGATAGACAAGCGATTTGCGAATGCAGAGGCGTTCGTCTCGTTCAACGTGTACCGATTCGCGCGGCTGAGCGGACTCGAGAAATACGTTCGCGCGATCGCGTCGAGGAACGAGTTCGCGTTTTCGGGCACGCGACGGCGCGGCGTCTCGGATAAAAATACCGCGATGTAAAGACTAAACACGCGACGATCTCTCGCGATCATCCACTCCGTCACGCCGACGGAGCGGCTGCGTTTTTCATCTCAGTCGTCGCGAGGCAAAGCTTATGTGTGTTTCTTCTGCGTTTCGCAGGTGCATGACATTCTGGACACATTAACGCAGCGACGTAGGAACGTGCCGATAATTACCTGGGCGAGCGCCTTGCAAATATTTCTCGCGAGCAAAGCCATCTTTCACAGCCGAGCGCCGACTGTTCTCGTGCCATGGACTTACCTCCATGGTTCGTGCTCGTCTCGCTCGCGCTCGCGCTCGCAGGGATGTAATCGTATTCAGGGTCTGCCTTTTAATTTGAATGAGGATGCGAATGCCTCCACCTGCGTGGAAACCTTTGAGAGATAATCTTCATGGTCTACTTTGTCGTGGGAAGAAATAATTAAAACACGCTGGTTACAGTAAAATCTTCACGAATTCAATAAAAATAAAATTAATCAGGCCATGATGTGCCATGATATATCAGAAGAAGATTTAATTGTTCGAAATACTTGAACGTCTCAGAAGCTAAATTTTTATATGAAATAACAGATCGAGGGAAATTATAAATTAATATACTCTGGTATTAATAAAAATTGTTAGGAAAATTAGAAAATAGTAATATAGTAAAATTTAATACATAAAACGCATTTTTGTTTATATATATATATATATATATATATAAAATTATAATTTATAAAAGAGTCGATTGTTTTGGCTCCAAAAAAAGCCTCAATTTATTATTTAGTTTCATTTATTGTCTAACTTATTTAGACTGATTAAATTATCTACTAGAAGGGGGAAATTCAAATTTCTGACAGCATCCGTCCCTGTAGATCAGTCACGTGGACAGTGTTAGCGACTTGCACTTTTTCTGCACTCTAATCATTTCAAGCTGCTTCAACAATTGAAATATGCAGTCATCTCGTTTTAGGCGCGGAAGGTGAATGTATAAGGTTTTTACTTTTTATGGCAATCTTTTGTATTTTGCATCTTCCTTTTCATAATGTTTTTTTGAATGCAGAAAATGCGATATGGTGCTGCGTGAGAAACAGATTTCCAAATGAAGAGGTATCGTGAGGACCTTGTAAGAATGACAGGAAGACAACTTATTGTTAGACAAACATGAGTCGAAGACACGAGAACATTGTTAAGACAATACGAGGATGTCATGAGGACGACTCGGTGAATAATCGTGGCAAAGGACAATAAGCAGTTATATAGCTATTTATAGCTATTTTTAATTATAAAAGTTTGTAGCTACAAGATTAATAGCTATTTAATTTATTCATGAATTTATTCGAAAATTTTTTCGATAAAGGTAAAGAATACCCCGCTCCTCTCCAATTTTAATAAAAATATACTCAATCGATGCGTTTTTGCATGAAACGAAAGAATCTGGCAGAAAAAAGTGTCGCTCCGTACTACGAACCGAGATATTTAACGTTAAAGTTGACGACTATTCAGGTTAGGAAATCTGTCTTTCCGACTACATGTAGTACAGTAGTGATGGGAAATTCTTTTCCGATTCTCAAAAAATCGATT